TGACTGATATCACTGTTGTCTTCTCACTGCCGCCTCCACACACAACAGCGAAACGTTACCCCATAAAAGGCTTGCTCATTGCTGTAGGCAAAATGACATTTGGATCCAAGTTAGAGCATGTTACTGTCACTGATCTTTCTGACTAATCCTCTAAGTTACACGAGGATTTGTGACTAAATCTCTAAATATACACCAGGATATGTGACTCATTAATCCTTGATTCTCATTTCCTTCGTTTGCATTTTTGCATTTTTTTTTTAGTTTGCCTTTTGTTATATTAATGAGTGATTATTTTTTTCTGTTTGAGGATGTAAACTGAGTGATTATTTTTTTCGGTTTAGGATGTAAACTGAGTGATTATTTTTTTCGGCTGGAAGATGTAAACTAAGTAACACAAAGACCCTCCTATGCATCGCTCAAGAGTGAGCGTTATTAGACAACGTTTAGCTCAAGGGTGAGCTTCAAAACATGTTTCTCACAAAGGCGAGTTTTTCCAGACATTTCGCTCAAAAACGAGCTTTTCGCAAGAAGTATGTTAAAAGAAAGGAAATGCAGTAATTAGTTTTAATGTTCCTAAGTTCATATTGTTCACTGGGACTGAGAATAGCACGTAGTCTCGTATGTTGCAATACAGTCAATATACTCACCAACACCTGCTGACTGTAATCGGATTTTGTATGATGGCTGGAGTGTGTCAGCGGTGTGTGTGTGTGTGTGTGTGTGTGTGTGTGTGTGTGTGTGTGTGTGTGTGTGTGTGTGTGTGTGTTTTGTACACATGTATATAACAACGCACACAGTGCGCATATATTCAGAATCTTGTACGTACATTTTTTAACACACCTGCCGTCTCCCATCAAGTTAGGGTGACCCGAAAAGGAAGAAACACTTTCATCATCACTCACTCCATTACTGTCTTGCCAGATGCGCGCCGATACTACAGTTCAGATGGTCTTCCAAACTACATTGTCACCACCCTTCCTTCAGCTAACTTGTTTCTCTGAATCCTTTCGCAAATGTTACCTTTCTTACACTCCAACAGCATGTCATGTTATAAAAACCACTTGCCTTCACTCACTCCTATCTAACACGGTCACACACGCCTGCTGGATGTCAAAGTCCCTCTCATACAATACCTCGTTTACCCCACTCCTTCCAACCTTCCCTAGGACGATCTCTACCCCACCTGCCCTCCACGTACACATTCTCTCTTAAAGATACACACACCACTGAATCACAAGTTTATATGCACTAAGTGCACCATGGAGCCACAAATTGCCCGCATAATTTGTAATATAAATTAGTGGTATTATGCGGTCGATGATCCAGATAACAGTAATACACGTCTGACAGATGAGGGCTGGCTATGTATCTAGTGAAGGAGAGATATGTATCACATCCCTATACATCTTATAAGTGTGAGCTATGTATCCAGAAGATTATGGCTGTGTATCTTGTAGGTGCGGGCTGACTATGTGCCCGAAGAGTATGGCTGACCATATATCTAGTAGGTGTGGCCTGACTATATATTCAGGAGGTATGGATTAAGTATCCATTAGGTCTAGGCTGACTATGTATCCACTAGGTGTGAGCTGAAAATGTATCCACTAGGTGTGAGCTGAAAATGTATCCACTAGGTGAGCTGAAAATGTATTCAGCAGGTGTGAGGTGTATGTATCCAGCAGGTGTGAGGTGTATGTATCCAGCAAGTGTGAGGTGTATGCATCCAGCAGGTGTGAGGTGTATGTATCCAGTATAAACAATATCATACCATCCATACGAAAAAAGGCAGGCAATTTTCAACATCGAATTTTAAGGGGTAATTAAGTGTTGCTGTAGCCCCCTGTAACACTCTTGTTAAGTGACGACGTACTTCTTGCTTCTTAACTCATGCTACATGTGTTATGACGCACTTCTTGCTTCTTAACTCGCTGAGAAAATATTTTTTAACTTCTTTCCTGGATATCTTCTCCGGAATGGGACAATAAGTCGGAGTGTCTTTCAACCTTCTCTCTCTCTCTCTCTCTCTCTCTTCCTGACTGCTCCGGTGTCTGATTTTCACTTGTCTCGTAATTCTTTGGACACTTCCCATGCATCTTGTGAAACTTCCAACAAAGGAAGACTGTCTAGAGAATCTGTCTCGTGGAAAATTACCTTGATGCACTAGTGAAGAGACATAAATTGCACTTTTTTTTAAATTTCAAGTAACGGGTCCTGGCCAGCTATCACATACCTCGCTAATAGGGCGCCATTAGACCAACTCAGGAAAAACTGCTTTTAAGAATTTTACTCTAAAATCAAGTAATTTTTACATTTTAGCGAATTTTTATTTAATCGATTAAAAACTGTAATGTGTTGTGTAAATTATTAACGTTTTTATGTTTTATTGGTACACATATACAAGTAATATACATCATACACATTTCTTTCCTGGTGTATCAATTATATTGTAAATGATGGATAACAGCAGAAGGTGGCTAAACCTTGTGTAATAACCCTCACCCTTGAGTTTACATCTTCAGGACAGTACAGTCTGAAGCTGAAAAAAGATAAGTACATCACTTAAAGTGCCTGACTTAGCTACATGACACAAGTCAGATCAGGTCAGGTCAAGACTGACTCGTTCTGTCGTCAAGCCTAACTCTTTCACAGATTTTATATAATAAATGCACATGGATTAAAAAGTTCTGACTTGACTCTGACAGTTTTCTTAACCAGGAAGTTTTTGGGAACATTCAGATTTTATGACTACAACAATATTAAAACAATGTAGTAAAAGAAGTATTTTTAAGACGAGTTTCCAAGATATGTTAGCATCAACTTATTTTTTTGATTGCATAGTTAAAAAAGACCACTTGCAATTTTCCCAAGATTTATCATGATATTTGAACGCTGGTCATTAAACACATTTAACTCTCAACAACATGAAGGAAAACACTGAACATTTTATCATGATGTGACGAATAACACTGGAAATATAAACATACATTAGCTGGTTTTCAATATTTTTTTAACTTAAATTCGTAACATCTAAAAATGGAATCGAGTTATTTTATTCATCCTTCACAGTAAATTTAATGGTTATAGCTTAATTATTTGACTAAAATAACTTTAAAACTTTTATTATGTTGCCATAAGCACATATAATTTACATACCTATCTCTTTTATTTTGCTTTTGAGAAAACTTTCTACTAAACAGTTTGCCTTCAAACAATTCCGTGTATAAATCACTGGCGACTGGAAAAAGAGGGTAACCCACTGACACACCAAACATTTGGATGTGTGTTCACCATCAAATGCAAACATTCCAGCTGTAATACAAAGTTCATTGAGTTTAATGATGATAGACTTAGGCAACTGCTAGTTAAATTTGCATAATGCTCGAAACAGAAAACATAGTAAGTATTTAACAGGGATGTTTGTAATCTAACATCTTTACGTGATCGAATCTGACTCTCATAAAACTAATTTAGATCCCCATGATGTGCTTTTTTTGAGTTGTAAAATCATTCTGATATATAAGCCACTTACTTTTATTATTCTAGAATGTTCTTCTAGAATGTTTTTCTTGATGTAATACATCATAAGAAATTTTTTTTTCTCTCAATTTCTGAAGACAGCATATTAAAACATCATTTGTTTCACAGTATTTTGTTGCATAAAATATAGTATAATAAAGCGGCAGTCACTACCAGACTGCTTCAGCCAAACCAAATTGGCTTTAAGATGCTTCAGAGCAGTGAATCAGCGTCTCATGCAGCAAAGACTTATATCAGGACCTACCCTAAGACTAGACTTCAAGAATACATTTAGCCTAGTTCAAAAAGAAGTGTTTTTGAGGTGTTCAAGAGCATGTCCCTAGTCTTTTACCAACAATTTTAGATGGTTATAGAAAATAGTCAACTTTGTTATTCGGGGACCATGAGACTACCTCATCAGAGGACGTCCAGCAGGAAGACCTAATTGGTCCATTCCACTTCTGCATAACGGTCGGAGAATTCACAGCCAGACTGATCAGCTAACTTAACGTCTGGTACCTGGAAGATGGCACTCCAGTAGGTACAGAAGAGTCTCTGGTGTATGATCTTCAAGATCTGAAGTCACAGGGACTAGTCCTCAACCCTTCCAAATATGAAATCCTTTCGATCAAACAGTTAATTACTGCCGTTAGATCCTCAACTATTCCCCTCCTTCAGCCTCCTTCCCACTAAGAGCATCCTACTGGCAGCACCTTTGGGTCATCAGGATTAAAATGAGTCCTGGAGTATAAACTGAATGAGTTACCACTGACCTAGTTCTGACCAATATAGCCCAGTTACCACTGACTTAATCCTCACCAATATAAGACAGGTACCCTGACCTTGTCCTCAAGTAATTGGAGTCTGACCTAATTCAGACAAATTAAATCTTATCGAATTTTGTGTAATAAGCCTTATCATTATTAATTTAGATGACGATAGCTTAATGAAGCAGTATCTTGTATGATGAATTATGACGCAGCATGGGGCGTCAGTGAGAGAGAGAGAGAGAGAGAGAGAGAGAGAGAGAGAGAGAGAGAGAGAAGAGAGAGAGAGAGAGAGAGAGAGAGAGAGAGAGAGAGAGCAGGCACAGTGAAAGGTGTAACACTGTGTCGACAAAGCCATAAGTTTGCAGAACCAGCCATCACCTGGACGACACCGCGCTCTACGTAAAGTTTCTCCAAGTCAGTGAACAAGAGGAGACTCTACGTAGAGCTTCTCCAAGTCGGTGAACTTGAGAAGCCTCTACGTAGAGCGAAACACTGTTGTACCTGCAAGAGAAGGTGCAGTGTGAGCAGGTCATGCACCTGCTAAATACTGTACTGGTTTGTGTTGTACGGTACCATCCGTCCTCTGTATCTCACCCCTACTCTCTCTCTCTCTCTCTCTCTCTCTCTTCTTCTTCTTCTTCTTCTTCTTCATTACAATTACAGATACATTCTGTCTCTCGCACCTCAGTTGTAACATAGAATATCTCTTCTCAGAGTGAGCATCGAGGTGCTAGCAGTCCAGCAGCTTCCAGCAACGAAGAGTTTACACACACTCTTCACTGTTCACACACACAACCTTCACCACCTCCCTAGGAAGCTGGCAACGCTCCCAACTTTATAAAAAAAAAAACTTCTGCGACACTGAGAGCGCCCTAAACGACATTCCTGAATTTCTGAGACCGCTTTAAGAGTTTCACAAGACGCCCTGAAAACGCTGGGAGCACCCTAAGAGCTCCACAAAACGCTCTAAGAATGCTGAGCGGTATAAGACTTTCACAAGACGCTGCTGAGTGCTGAAAGCCCCCTAAAACATTGCGAATTCTTGAAAAAAGTTTAAATAAAACCCCAGAATATGCTGAGAGCTCCTTAAGAATTTACAAAACACCCTGAGATTACGCCAAGATTAACCAAAACGCAGTGAGAACACTAAGAACGCGGCACAAGGAAGGAAGGTCAAGATGAGGGCAACAACGGCAATGATGATGACAGTGTGTCTGACAGCCGTGGCAAGATCATCACCTCAACCCATTGGCGAGTGTCAGGTGAGTTCTCACTTGTCGATAGACACTTGACTTTTTTTATTGTGTGTGTGTGTGTTTGTGTGTGTGTGTGTGTGTGTGTGTGTGTGTGTGTGTGTGTGTGTGTGTGTGTGTGTGTGTGTGTGTGTGTGTGTGTGTGTGTGTGTGTGTGTTGTGGTGTGTGTGTGCGCGCGCGCGCCCCTGCCTGTCTGTGTTTTAGTGTCAGTGTTAGTGTGTGTTTTAGTGTACTCACCTAATTGTGATGCAAGAGTCGAGACTCAGCTCCTGGCCCCGCCTCTTTACTGAACGTCACTAGGTCCTCTCTCTCCCTGCTCCATGAGCTTTATCATACCTCGCCTTAAAGCTATGTATGGTTCCTGCCTCCACTACATCACTCGCCAGACTGTTCCACTTCCTGACTACTCTATGACTGAAGAAATACTTCCTAACATCCCTGTGACTCATCTGAGTCTTCAACTTCCAAGAGTGACCCCTTGTTTCTGTGTCCCCTCTCTGGAACATCCTGTCTCTTTCCATCTTGTCTATTCCACGTTACCATGTCTCCCCTAACCCTCCTGTCCTCTAGTGTCCTCAGACTGATTTCCCTTAACCTTTCCTCGTAGAACATTTCCCTTAACCTTTCCTCGTAGGACATTTCCCTTAGCTCTGGAACTAACCTTGTTGCAAACCTTTGCACTTTCTCTAATTTCTTGACGTGCTTCATCAAGTGTGGGTTCCAAACTGGTGTTGCATACTCCAGTATGGGCCTGACGTACACGGTGTACAGTGTCTTGAACGATTCCTTATTAAGGTATCGGAAAGCTGTTCTCAGGTTTTCCAGGCGCCCATATGCTGCAGCAGTTATCTGGTTGATGTGTGCTTCCGGAGACATGCTCAGTGTTTTACTCACCCCAAGATCTTTCTCCTTGAGCGAGGTTTGCAGTCTTTAGCAACCTAGTCTATACTTTGTCTGCGGTCTTCTTTGCCCTTCTCCGATCTTCATGACTTTGCATTTGGCAGGGTTGAATTCAAGAAGCCAGTTGCTGGACCACGTGTCCAGCCTGTCCAGGTCTCTTTGAAGTCCTGCCTGATCCTCATCAGATTTAATTCTCCTCAATAACTTCACATCATCTGCGAACAGAGACACCTCTGAATTTATCCCTTCCATCGTGTTATTCACATATACCAAAAACAGCACTGGTCCTAGGACCTACCCCTGTGGGACCCCGCTCGTCACAGGTGCCCCCTGTGATACCTCATCCCGTACCATGACTTGTTGTTGCCTCCCTGTCAGGTATTCTCTGATCCATTGCAGTGCCCTTCCTGTTATACGCGCCTGATACTCTAGTTTCTGCACTAGTCGCTTGTGAGGAACTGTGTCGAAGGCCTTTTTGCAGTCCAAGAAAATGCAATCAACCCACCCCCCTCTCTCGTGTCTTACTTCTGTAACTGTCATAAAACTCCAGGTTTGTGACACAGGATTTGCCTTCCATGAATCCGTGCTGGTTATCGTTTGTAATCTTGTTCCGTTCCAGATGCTCCACCATCCTTCTGATAATCTTCTCCATGACTTTGCATACTATACACGTCAGTGACACTGGTCTGTAATTTAGTGCCTCTTTTCTGTCTCCTTTTTTTAAAATGGGAACTACATTTGCGGTCTTCCATACCTCAGGTAGTTGCCCAGTTTCAAGGGATGTGTTGAAGATTGTGGTTAATGGCACACACAGTATATCTGCTCCCTCCCTGAGGACCCACGGGGAGATGTCAGGTCCCATTGCCTTCGAGGTATCAAGGTCACTTAGCAACTTCTTCACCTCCTCCTCAGTTGTGTGCATATCATCCAGCACTTGTTGGTCTGTTCCCTGTTGGTGTCCCCCTCTATCCTGTCTTCCCAGAGTTCTTCTTGTCTCCACTGTGAATACTTCCTTAAATCTCATGTTGAGCTCCTCGCATACCTCTTGATCGTTTCTTGTGAGTTCCCCACCTTCTTTCCTCAGCCTGATCACCTGGTCTTTGACTGTCGTCTTTCTCCTAATGTGGCTAAACAGAAGTTTCGGGTCAGATTTAGCTTTCGATGCTATATAATTTTCGTACTGTCACTGGGCCTCCCTCCTTATCTGTGCATATTCGTTTCTGGCTCTTCGACTGATCTTGTTTTCCTGGGTCCATTGCCTTCTATACCTCATCCATTCTCTAATGCACTTAGTTTTTGCCTCCCTACACCTTCGGGTAAACCAAGGACTCGCTTTGGTCTTCCCATTATTTCTATTGCCTTTGGGAACAAACCTTTCCTCTGCCTCCTTGCAGTTTGTTGTTATATATTCCATCATTTCATTTACTGACTTTCCTACCATTTCTCTGTCCCACTGCACCTCCCGCAGGAAGTTCCTCATACCTGTGTAGTACCCCCTTTTATAGTTTGGCTTTTCCCGTTCGACTCCTGTTACCCTCTCCACCTGTAACTCTACTATGTAATCAAAACTCAGGACTACGTGGTCACTAGCTCCGAGGGGCCTCTCATATGTGATGTCATCAATGTCTGAGCTACTCAGGGTGAACACAAGGTCCAGTCTTGCTGGTTCATCCTCCCCTCTCTCTCTCTGGTAGTGTCCCTGATGTGTTGATGCATGAGGTTTTCCAGTACCACATCCATCATCTTGGCTCTCCATGTTTCGGGGCCCCCATGAGGCTCCAGGTTTTCCAAGTCGATCTCCATGTGGTGTGTGTGTGTGTGTGTGTGTGTGTTTCTCTACCTTTGCAATGAAAATATTTAACATTTATTTTCCAAACTGGAATACCTCTAAACTTATTTCGTTTTTTGATGGTCTTATTAAAATTAGAAAAGTAACATTAAACAGGAGCAGTAATAGTGTCATATATAAAGTCAATCTGTGATAGATGATCAGGTGAGTAACATCCTAGTGTACAACATATAAGTGTATCACGGCTAAACATTGCCAAGTTCCTCAGTGACACTCTTATCTATCTCATTCAGATCCTAAGTGTTTTTTCCAAGGAACAGAACTATCAATCCTAGCAGTCACAATCATTATAAACTTCCTTTTTTATGAAAAAAAAAAAAATTTACATCAATAATAATATTTCCGTTCACAGGTAGATGATCTGAGCCTAACAAATCATATAATACAGATATATTATCAATACAGATATCATTTGTAGTTCTACCTATTACATAACCAAGCCATTCAAGGCAAAAAAAAAATTTATAAGGAACACACCTACAATATCAGAGTTAATCAAATTAAAATCTAAACATTTTAAGTTATTTCTTGGTTAGAAATTACCCAAATAACACCAGGCGCCACCAACAAAAGGATGTGCCTTAAAAATTGCCCACAGAACATAAAAAAAATCATCATACTTATAACTATGCAAGGCATATTCTGTTATCAGAGATTCATTATAATTATTCAAATTAATATTTTCCCAAGTGACACTCTTGATATAGACATTTGCTAGAATAATCTTAAATTTACCTATAGTCTGGATTTTATGGAGCATCCTCGATGCGTGTTGTGATACTGACAAACTGTGGGAAAGAACACTTCTGTACAGTTCGGCACATTTATTAAAGAAAAAGTAGCAGAGAGAGCAGAAGAGAGAGAGAGAGAGAGAGAGAGAGAGAGAGAGAGAGAGAGAGAGAGAGAGAAAATCATCTTCCATCATCAGCACATTAACTAGAAATGTTGCATCCTTTCTCAATCAACTAAGCCACCTTGACATCTGCCTTCATTAGTAACGAGTGTTATATTAGAATATATATCGCAGCTACCCCAACAGCCGTAGTAGTAGTAGTAGTACCAGTACCAGTAGCAAAATGGCAGTAGTGGTAGCAACAGTAGCAGCAGCAGCAGTAGTATTATCGGTAGTAGCAGCAGTATCAGTAGGATCAAGAGTAGCAGTCTCAGTAGTAGTAGTCGCATTAGTCGTAGCAGCAATACTAGTAGAATCAGCAGTAGCAGCAAATGTACTAGTAAAATAACAATAGGTGATTGTAGTTATTGTCTGATACACGAGAATGACACATGCTACACACTCATAATAATTCTTCCCAACTGCACCACCAAACCCACTCTCCCTTAGTCTCAGTCTCTCTCTATTGACCCTCACCAACTCTGTCTTGTCGTCTACTGCAGACGAAGGGACAGGTCCTGGCAGACAGCGACTCGTGCTCTCGTTTCCACGTCTGCCGCATCCTGGAAGACGGACATTTCACCACAGACATCGCCGTCTGCCCCAACAAGATGCTCTTCGACATGGTCACTCTCACTTGTACGTACCTCTTACCTTCCTTGTTCATAGATCGGGTATATTTTTGCAAGGTTTCAATTGGTTTCAGGCGGCAAAAGTAGACGGGTGGGTAACAACAGAATTTAACGTGGATGAGGTTTTCTTTTTAGGGTGACTGGGATGGGTTTGCATGATTGTCATTGGTTCTAAGGGCAAGAAATGTTCGTATTTAGCTAAAGTTTTCAAATAAGTCAAACTTGTGAGGTGTTCATGAGTGCTGTGTTGTATCTCACAGGTATCAACCAGGATCACGGCTACGTGCAAGACCCCTCCAGCTGCACCAAGGTCAGTACACCACCACCACGAAAGATAAGTTTGCCAAAAAAATCCCATATTTGTATTGCACCTCTTGCTGCAAAGTTTCATTCCATTATTTACGATTATTGACTCTCTTTGTACTTCAGCAGTTCATCTTATCTGAGTGTATATCATCTGTTTCCTCCCTACATTCTCTATATTCTCCATCCATTTATCCCCCTCTTCCTCCCATTGCCCATTCCCTCCGCCACCCTCAACTCTCCATCCTACCATTTCCCGTCTCTCTCCTCTTCCACCCTCTATTCCATGCTAAAGGAGGGAGTTGAGTATGGATAGCAAGAAGGTTACGTCCTTGCTGCCCACACCACCACGCAGTAATGGCTTCTATATTTCATCCTGGGATAATGGTGTCCACTCTGCCTTCCCCTCCCACCTCCCTTTACTTCTTCCCTTTCTTCTGTTTTTTTTTTTAGTCACCCCTTCGCCAGTTACATTACTCTAACACCCATTTTATCATCTTTAGTCACCCCTTGACCACTTTCTTTAGCCCGCATTTCATGATGATTTTTTTTTCCAACGAACCGGTTGTATCCCACCGAAGCAGGGTGACCCAAAAAGAAAAACTTTCGTTTTTCTTTTTAAATTTAGCAATTTATAAAGGTGAAGGGGTTACTAGCCCCTTTCTCCCGGCATTTTAGTTACCTCTTACGACACGCGTGGCTTATGGAGGAAAAATTCTTTCCCACTTCCCCATGGAGAAAAGATGAAATAAAGGAGAACAAGAATTATTAAGAAAATAGAAGAAAACCCAGGCGTATGTGTAAATATGTATGTGAATACTTGTATGTGTAGAAGTGTAAGTAGAAGCAGCAAAACATACCTGTTATCCCGAGTGTTTATGAGACAGAAAAAAGACACCAGCAATCCTACCATCAAGTACAACAATTACAGGTTTCCGTTTTACACTCACTTGGCAGGACGGTAGTACCTCCCAGGGTGGCTGAGTTTGTGCAGACTTTGTTCAGCCCATTTGGAAAAACTCAGCCCAATCTGTCCTAACGTATCGCGAACCTTTAGTTTGGCAAGTCGCAAAACTCTGAAGAACTTTTTCATGGTGGGCTCCAAGTAGTAACCCCTGATCCTGTGGCTCAGGGAACCGACTATTTGCCTTCCAGTCCTCTGTAGGAGAGACTGGAGGCCCCGGCAAACCTCTGCGTGGATATTTTTTTTTATTATCACATCGGCAGTTTCCCACCAAGGCACGTTAACCCGAAAAAGAAGAAACACTTTCCTGGTATTCGATCTGAATATGCCCGTTTTGTGCTTCAGCATGCGACTGGTTTTGTGAAGTTTGCCTCACGAATCACTTCTTGGTTAAGAAGCTTATTGATGGACAGGTCTGTCCCGAAGAACACGTCAAGAAACCGAGTAGTGGAGATCCGTTAGTCACTACTGAGACTGCTGATTAGACCAAACATTTGCTGAAACTGAAGAAGTTTCATTTCTATGATGTACAGGCTTCCATACCCGCCAACATGAATTCTTGAAGAGGACTTGTCTACTGCAGAGATCTAGTGGACACGGAAGACGATCACACTGCTAATGAACCTAAGGATCAGAAAGTCATTGGTGTTAGGTTCCTGAGAAAGTTTGTTGAAGGTGTGCAAAAGAAGATTCTCTTAGTCTGTTTAATAATCGGCAAAGCAACCCTCCCTGAATACTTTTGTACTGTGTTGCGGTTAAAGCTTTCATTCCTAACCAAATGCGGTATTTCTGATGCCAGAAATATGAACATGATCAAGAGTAGCACTACTGATCCTCGCTTCGGAAATTATCCCAATATTCAACATGAGACAGCTGCAGGCACATCTCCTTGTCTTAACTGTCAAGGTGCCCATTCCAGAAGTGACCGGGATTGTCCCTGGTTCAAGACCGTGAGGCTAAGAAGAAAGTCGAGGAGTCCCAATGAATTACCAGGCCCAACGAAACATGTGCCTTACCAGTATTGGGCCCCTGCTTAGGCGGGATGGGGCATAACAGATGATAGCCAAGAAATGAGTGAGATACTAAAGTCCCAATATGACTCGGTGTTCACCGAGCCACTGCCCAGACTAAGGGTCGACAATCCAAATGAATTCTTTATAAACGAAACCCAAAATCTGGTCATCCCAAAAATCTCGGATATTATTCTAACTCCACGAGACTTTGAAAAGGAAATTAATGACATGCCTATGAACTCTGCCCCAGGCTCAGACTCGTGGAACTCCGTGTTCATCAAGAATTGCAAGAAGCCCCTATCGCATGCCTTCAGCATTTTATGGAGAGGGAGCATGGACACAGGGGTCATCCCACACACACTAAAAACAACAGACAGCCCCACTCCACAAAGGTGGCAGTAAAGCAATTGCAAAGAACTACAGACTGATAGAACTAACATCCCATATCATAAAAATCTTTGAGAAGGTTCTAAGAAGCAAGATACCCATCAATTACACAACCCAGGGCAACACGGGTTTAGAGCAGGTCGCTCCTGCCTGTCCCAGCTACTGGACCACTATGACAAGGTCCTGGATGCTTTAGAGGACAAAATACAGATGTATACACAGACTTTGCAAAAGCTTTAGACAAGTGTGACCATGGTGTAATGGCACACAAAATGCGTGATAAAGGAATAACGGGAAAAGTTGGTCGGTGGATCTACAACTTCCTGACAAATAGAACACAAAGAGTAATAGTAAACAGAATAAAGTCCCAGGCAGCCATGGTAAAAAGCTGTTCCACAAGGCACAGTACTCGCTCCCATTCTAATCTTTATCCTCATTTCTGACAGACAGAGATGTAAGCCATAGCTCCGTGTCTTCCTTTGCGGATGACACCCGGATTACCATGGCAGTGACCTCCAACGAACACACCACGAGACTACAAGCGGACACCAACCAAATCTTCGAATATGCCACTCAAAACAATATGAAGTTCAACGAGAAATTTCAACTACTCAGATATAGGAAACTTGAAAATTAAAAATGTGTCAGGGTATACAACAAATTTTAACCATACAACAGAGGGAAAAAGTAATGTGAAGGGCCTGGGAGTGACAATGTCAGAGGATCTCGCCTTCAAAGACCACAACAATGTATCCACCTCATCCGCTAGGAAAATGATAGGATGGATAATGAGAACCTTCAAAACTAGGGACTCCAAGCGCATGATGATTCTCTTCAAATCGCTTGTGCTCTCTAGGCTGAAATACTGCTGTACACTAACGGCCCCCTTCAAGGCTGGAGATATTGCAGACCTGGAGTGTGTACAAAGAACTTTCACGGCACACATAAGTACGATAAGGCACCTAAATTACTGGGAACGGTTGTAGGTCCTTGATCTGTATTCCCTCGAACGCAGGTGAGAGAGATACATGATAATATACACTTGGAAGGTCCTGGAGGGATTGGTACCAAACCTGCACACGAAAATCACTCCCTATGAAAGCAAAAGACTCGGCAGGAGATGCAACATTCCCCCGATGAAAAGCAGGGGCGCCACGAGTACAATGAGAGACAACACAGTAAGTGTCTGGGGCCCAAGACTTTTCAATTGCCTCCCAGAATACATAAGGGGGATTACCAATAGACCCCTGGCTGTCTTCAAGAAGGCACTGGACAGGCACCTAAAGTCAGTACCTGACCAACCGGGCTGTGGTTCGTACGTCAGCTTGCGTGCGGCCAGCAGTAACAACCTGGTTGATCATACCCTGATCCACAATGAGGCCTGGTCTCAGACCGGGCCGCGGGGGCGTTTACCCCCGAAACCCTCTCCAGGTAAACCAGTACGAGCTTGTCGTCTAATATACAATTCTGGTACCCAAACTCTGCCCCTGGCTCTTGCACCTCCCAAACCTTCCTCTTCTAAGAATCCTGACTCTCCCATCTTCAATTTTACTCTGACTCAAGTTTCTCTCAGTGATTCTTCATTTAGCTTTTCTATATTTTCGTTTGTTTTTTTTATGTTCATAATTCAATCTAGTTTAGACAACATGCATTCTGTGAAGCATGAATATTTCTCCACAAACACACCCATTAATCGCGTTTTTTGGCTAATATTTAAAAAATGCGTGATGATTCAATTCTGATTGGGCAGGTCCATTTCTGGGTGGGATTTCACAAGAACTGGCACTAAAATTCATACCAAAAGAAAAAATAATTTACAAAACTGAGTAATTATGCAGACAGTGTGCAAGTGCTTAAAGATTATTTAACTTCCGTTGTGTCAACTCCTTTCGTCTCCATTTTGGATATAAAGTCCTTAGGTAGTGATTAATCGAACACGGTAACAATAAATTAATTGGTAATCAGTTATAGGCTTACTTATTTTTCCTGTCAGACTGACTTGTCTACATGCCTAAACAAGAATCTCTCAGTAGCGTCGAAGCTATAAGACTTGAATGCAGCGCTATAAATACCTTGAGAATTCGAACTCAAACTGAGTATTTTATTGTTAATACAACTATCCTGTTTTCTTTGTAAAGACGTGCTTATCTCTTGTATTATCTCTGTTTTCGAGACTAAGTTCTTCTCAACTGTTTCCCCGTTTTGCTTTTACGATGTAAAGTAAATCTTCAGTGTGATGAAACAAATTTGGTTTTCAACTGCTTTTTTTTCTTCCCCACAAGGCAGCACTTACCTTCTGCATAATTCCCAAGTTACAGTCCAGTTAGAGTCAACATATTATCACTACCAGGTAGTGAACCTTTTTTTTTTTTCAATGGGAAATAAAGCCTATTTAGGGAAGGCCAGCGGATACTCAACCAGGTAAAAGATCATCACATAAACACCCGTGTCAGGAGACACTGACAATTATTATTATTATTATTATTGCCATCATCATTATCATTATATTCATGGTAAAGAGCTAGACTCCCTAGGGGTTATACAGGTCCAGGAAAATGGGAGATAATTAGATTTGATCCAAGGAAGGGCAGGGTAGCTACAATTCCCTTCATCAAGAGCCCATCTCCAGCATCAAGGCACTCA